CGCCCCCCGAGGGGCCCGCGCGGCCGCCCCGAGCCCGGGTCCAGCCCTCTCCCCGCAGAGGCGCGATTGACCTTCCGGTCCCGAAGAGCTGGCCTGACATCTTCTGGCTCCCGGTACTCAGGGCGGGGGCCCATGATGTGTGGAGTCGCCTGCTTCCCGGGGTGGAGCGTTCAGATCCTGGTCGGGTCTTCGGTCAGCATCGCCCACTGGGTCATTGAGCGCCTGGCTGTTTTCATCCGGAGGCTAAATCACCTCTTGCATTTTGCCCTGCAGCCCGTGATTGGTTCAGGGGTCCCCAATATTCGACTTTTCTCTGCAGAGGCTCGTTTTAGGTATTTGCCAAGATCACTAGAAAAGCATTCAGTACAAACTGCTTAATCATGCATTTTTATAGTGGGCCAAGGATTTTCTTAAAAGCCACCAATCCACTGCAGTTCTTGTTCTGTTTCGTAGCTATTCTTTCTAGGAATTTCCAGCTTCACCGGGCAGATCTACAGGAGAATGTTCAATGGTAGCATTTGCAGCACCCCGTTAGTCAGTGTGGATAAGGTGATTGAGAACGGCCAGAATGTCCTAAGAATATTTGTTTCCAGTAATAGTGTCAGAGACTGAGAGGGGAAGAGGTGGCAAGTGTGGGAAACAAGACAGTATCAGCTTCATTGTGGTTCTCTCTCTTCTTAGCTCTGCAAGTTCTTGCTTTTCCAAACCTAGAGGGCAGTGCATGAAGCCTTGGGCCATCAACCATGCTCCAGACTGTGTTGTCCCAGGTGAGCTGAGCTTTCTTCCAGCTTTCCATATTCAGAACAGATAAGAAAGTTAGTACAGGCCCAGAAGCCTGACCTGGCCAGTCCTGTGCTTAGCTTTGCATCCACCAACGTGGCAAAGCGATATGCTAGAGGAGTTGATGAGGGAGAGTAGGTAAACTTGGGAGGATCAGGTTGATTGGGAAAGAAGGAAGCACCAGCCAAGAAATTCTGGAAAGTGAGAACCTACATACATGAAATCTTCTAGTGTGGTCCCCAGATGAGTAGCTTCAGGATCAGCAGGGGGCTTGTTAGAAAAGCAGAATCTGAAAATCTCCAAATCTCCTGAATCAGAATCTACATTTCCCAAGATCTGGGGAATTAAGGGGCAAGTTAAACTTCGAGGAGTGCTAGTCTGTATCACAATTTACAGAGGAAGGCAACCTTCTGAGATTAGACAGGTACTCCCGTGGGAGGAGTTTGCCCTGCGGACCACTCAGTTAGGGTACAGTGAAGCCAAAACTGGGAGCATTTAGAAGGTATGGACTGATGAGGGAGGTGTATTCTTGGAGGAATGCTGAGTTTGGAGCTGCAGCCTGTGCCTTTAGCACAATGCAAAGATAGCGGTTTAACCTCTATGAGAGCCTGTATCCTTTGTTGGCACAAATTTATACAGCATTGGAAGCAGTTGATTTTA